TCACCCGCTACCCAAGGGAGGCGGTGGCCCTGGCGAAGAGCACGCTCTTCGGGGCTCCGAACGTTTCGAACGGATAGGCTACCACACACACACAACAACAAAACCCAGATTCTTGTAGGTGTCCACCAGTCTCACCTGAAGACGTTGGCCCAGAGAAGGAGTAACACGAAAACACACCAAGTCCGGTCACTACACAGTGCTCGAAGACAAGACGTTTTGGGCGCCTTTTCGCTGATGTCAGTTTTGACGTCGTCTCTTTCTTTTAACATGTCTCCGTAACCAAGACAATGCACAATCTTGCATGTCGTTTCTTTGTTCACAATGCCGCATTTGTTCAAAATACTGTAATTTTTGTCGGGTTTGGACACAGACCGTTTTCGTGTTGTTTCATCTTTGAGAGTGTGTGAAGGGACAATCTCTTTCTTAGCTTCCTCGACAACGAACACTGGATTTCCGTGGAAAGAATGATGGTTATTGTCGGCAACTTTCGACAGAGTTAAAGCTGGAATTTTCGAGCTTGGTTTGACAAGGATCGTTGTTGCTGATTGCTTGTCTAGATTTCTTTTTGGATTAAGTTGACTTTCATCGAGGGATACGTCGTTTTGTGCCATATGGTGTGGTTGTGTCTCATCTGCTGCCCATTGTTGTCTCTCCTCGTCTTTCTGGTCCTGTGAACATATGACGAAAATAAACAAAACTAACGTGCTGCTATTGAACATCTTTCAACGTTATATCTCCTTTTTCTTTTCTTTGTATGTTACTCTCTAGTAACAACTCTAACCTTCGACACCTCTATATGACCTATTTGTTTTGCAAGTGCTGTAGAACTTTTATTTAACAAATAAAACAAAATATGCTGCTTTATGAAGTAGAAAATTTAAGTTATAGTTCATACTCTGTTGCCTATCCCGCTGCAGACTCACAGAGCCTAACCATAACTAATTGGGGGAGGGGGGGGGGTGGAGTTTTAGTTCTATTGGTTTCAGTCTGGACTGCGATGCAGATAACCCTTGTTTGAGTCTCTAACTAGTCTTAAATGTGCACATTGAGGAGCTTTCACGTCTATCCTCCTGCTTTGTTCAGTCCTATCTGAGTTGAACTTTAAATTTAAATTAGTGGCCTAGCCTCTGAAAAAATCGTTATAGTACAGTTGTGAAGGGGCTTTAAACCTATAATATACAGAAATACAATCACCAGTACAAACGACTTTCTCCGCCCTTACTTTAAAAAAAACCTACACAGTTGACTACTAACAGTTATATTCCTTAACACTGATAGGCAGCTTGACAAAGGGTTTGAACAAAAAGCTAGCACAGGTTTATTAATGGTTTATTGATATCAACTCTTGACTTTACTAATTATTCATGTCTATTATTGCTTTCCTCCACCCCCCCTCCCCCTAAAAATCCCAGACACACAAGACACTTTAAATACCACTTTGTTAAGCTCTTAATTGGTTGAAATGTTCCAAACAATCAAAACAGCAGGTTCGAGGCGTTCAAAGTTGTTGTGTATGATTTGCGCCTCCAGCGGACTATTTAGATCATTAGGAAGGACCTTACTTTAATTGGTCCCAGATTGTAGGATGTAAACAAACGAATAGACGGAGAAATAATTCTGATAAAACATCTTCTACACGCATGTCTTTAGTTTGCAAGGTGAAGAGCCTGGCTATTGCAGCAAAAAATGCGGAAAGGGATAGGAGTGACGGAATTGTAAACATAAAGCTTAAGCTGTACTACCCCAAAAAATGTTTGGTAATGACCCATTTCAATTCTTCCTTTGGAACTTACTTGATCTAATACTTCGCATATCCGGGAATTCCACTCTTTGTGGGGGCCAATTTGGAAGTAGCCGTGGCTTCATTCCAGAAATATGATTTTAACCCCTTTATTGCTAGGACATTTCCATCTACGTTTGTACTGACACGATAGAATGCTCATTCAAGAGAGCTTCAAACAAAGCTAAAATATAGTTACCTTAATTTATGGATAATAGATTGGAAACAGTTGTAGTTACATCATCTTCTGATACGTCTCCTAATAATAATATATCTAATGAAACAAATGGCTGGGAACCAATTTTGAAGAGCACAAGCGAATCAATACGTCAACACAGCAGTGAAGAGCTCAACTTATTTTAAGAAGGTCACATCAAACAGATTTCTACCCTTTTTTCGAATATCGTTTGAGACGTAAACAACTTACCCAAGAGTCGTAGTAGTTGTGCTCGTGGTATCCGCCTGGTATACGAAGAAGCATAAGGTACTTGTTCAAAACTCTTTTGGCACAGCCACAATGAAAAGGTTCAAGTGGGTGGTCCCATATGTACTCGAGAAGTTCTTTAGCGTCCATCATGACACTTCAGATCGGAGTGGACATCGACAAAAAGGCCCAAAGTAGACAACGAAACCCTCTAAACTATTCCTGCTTGAAACAATGTTGATTTAATTTCGTTAGAGTTAAATTAAGAAAAAGGGGAACAGATAGGCGGGGGTGATACTATTTTCAAAACACCGGGAGATTTACCAAAATATGTACTCCAGTACAGGTGTATCAAACATTGATAACCCACCAATTCATGGCAAGTGTTTTTAAATTTGTATTCTAGAGTACTCAAAATGTTGTAGATGATACCAATATCAACATGTAACAGCGCAGCACGAAAATAGCTTGGAAAGTTTAATCAAATACAAGCAATAATGCTGAGTAATTATGAGGCTGTAATCCATCGTGAAAAACTGAAAAACTTAAAAAAGCACTTTAAAGTAAGTCAACTGACAGTGGGGCATGAGACACACCCCCGTAACACCCCCATAACTCCCCCACATCTAGTCAAACATCCAATGAGGCAGGGTAGTCAGTCAATACGATCGCGCAGCGCGCTCACAGTTCTAACCAATGAAGTTGCGTGGTGGAAGAAAAAGAGAGCTCACACAGACACATTGCTCCGCTTTCTCACCCCCCCCC